CCATACTAGATGGAATTCAAATTAATTTATGACTGCACCCGAGCACTACTTTAATTGGCTGCGACGGTTCGCGTTGCTTTTGCTAATTAAATTTTGTTGTCTCGTTTTTATTTAATTGTTTTTTTTTTTTTTTTTTTGGTTTTCTGGCTTGTTTTTCTTACATGGACAACTCCTGCCTGGGTTTGTTTATGTGCAAGCGCTGCGGATCCTGTGGCGCAACACATATGTCGGTTAAAATAACCACCTCGTAGGGGCTGCAGTCGGGCATGTGTAGAAAGCCGCACAGCCAGCCGTAGAAGCCCTTTTCTATATCGGTTATGTCATTCACCCAGCTGCTATACTGCAGACTCAGCTGCCGGAAGCCCGAGTACAAGCCCAGGCCAAAGGTGCAGAGCACAATTGCAAGCGGATAGGCCAGAAAGAGTATGGGCGTAACGAATATCTTGTGAACATACGACTTCTCCTCACAATAATAGTTAAACATGTTATACCAGGTCAAAGTGCCAATGTAGAAAGAGTAGATGGCCGAGACGATCGTCACAAATGGCAAGCAGATCAGCGAGATGAGAAAAATGTGAAGTCCAACACCGCAGCTGCAGGTGCAGCAGAGATTGTGGCCCTTGTGCGACTCGCTGGCCATGGCGTGGGCATTGAGCTGTTCCAGTTCCTCGCGACTGATGTTTATCTGCAGATCGATGGACTGACCCTTCTTGCGACCTCTTTTAATAGTGCCTGCGTAATGTGGAAGACAATAAATGGAGTGCCAGATGGCATAGCCATAGTTGAGACGCACCTGTCATGGTCAAATAGTTGCTGCCATCGACCGTCTTGCGGGCCTGATAACGCTCCAGGCTCTGATCATAAGTATTTAGCACACTTGTTTCGCCCGACTCCAGATCCTCATAGTTGGCTATGTCTGGCGAGGCACGACCTCCGCTGCGCGCATGTGGCAAGTCTGAGGTGCGTATGTTAACGCGCTTCTTCGACGACGAGCGATTGCTAAGACTGAGGCAGTCCTGCGACTTGCTCAGCTTGGCATCCAGGCTGCTCTCCGAGTAGCAGCAGCTGCTGGGCGTAACCGTGCTGCTCTCGTGGCGCTGTGATGTTGACTTGGTGCCCTGCGAAATGGACTCGAAGTTCTGCAACTCATTCAGATTGTTGGCCGAACGTGTCGATTTATTGCTATGCTGTGTGGAACTGGCCGAGTTGGTGCTGGCGATGGTGTCCTGGGCGCAGCCAGGTTCCCCTGGCAGCTGTGGCAGTGGCTGTTTATTTTTGATTATTAATTTCGATTTGAGCAGCTCCTCTTCGAGGCCCGGATTTGAGGGGGAGAGCTTGGCTCGGCTTTGCTACAAATATGTTAATCAAATTTTCAAATCCACAACCCTAATCGGTCGTTGTATTAAATGCTAGTTTACCTGCACATTGACAATGTGATCCACATAGTTTTGCTTTTTGGCCTCGGCTTTGTTTTGTTGTCGTTTACGTGGCGGTATGAAAACAGGGCGTTCCTTTGTTGACACTTCCGCGCTCATCGCGCCCTTGCCGACCATTTTGTATCTGTATTATATTTGATTACTCAAAAATCTTCATGTTTTCGAAGACAACCACAGTAGAGGCAGTTGCTTTTTCTGTGCTGCAGCTATTTTAACTAGCATACAACATGCACTTCCGGCTGTCCGTCTCGGTAGCTATGTAATTATTGATTTTTCGTAGAATTTCGTTGTCCTTGTGCTGATTTTGCGTTCCTTGACGTTGCCGCCTTTTAGGTTGGGCGGATAATGTTTACCGCAAATTGACGCATGCGCAGCAACTTGTTTAAAAATGCAATCAAACAGCTGTTCCTTAAAAACAATGCATTTGAATAACTTTTTAACAATTGACAGTGCAACATTATTTAAAATTAAAATCATTTAATATACAGATGGCAAAGATAATCTTATATCAAAATAGAGTACAACACAAAAGTAAACATTCAAATAATTAAATTTAAATAAAACCGTTTTATATGGCAGTATTTTTGCATTTGGTATTTTTGAAATTCACCTCATTCAAAGTTCTTATTTCCCCATGAAAAGTTGCCACATGTTTATAAAAATATAACAAAAAAAAATTGTGGAATGCCAATGAAAAACGTGACATTTTAAATTTCAATAATGTTTAAAGTGAACATTTTAGAAACCAAACATGGGTTATATAATTAGGGCTAGTGGTTTATTTAGTTTTATGCCTTTCATTTTGGGCTCATTAAAATGGCGCCAAAATATCAAGAAATATCGATTAATCGAAAGAAATTTGTAAGAAGACGGCTAAATCAATTGCAGAAGCGCTATATTTTGTTAAGAAATGGCTGTAACCATTTTAATTTCTGCTTTTATGGTAATCACATGGTCCACAAATAATAAGTTCACAATGGGCGAAAAGAAAGAAAGAGAGGACCAGACATCTGAGCAACAGGAAATAGCAGCCGGCTCCGCACATCTCTATCATTCGCTATTCTGAGTTTGCTAGATCCAGTCGCTGCGGGTATTTTCCATAGTTAAGATAGCAACAAGATGTCCGCTACTGAAGGCAAAGTCTGTATATGTACAATAATTAATTAACTAAAACAATAGTCTCAAGTGTGCATTTTTTCTTAGGTAATCAACTGCAAAGCTGCGGTCGCCTGGGAGGCCAAGAAGCCACTTGTAATTGAAGATATCGAAGTGGCGCCCCCAAAGGCCCATGAAGTATGTCGAACAATGACAATGCAATTTTGTATAGTTTTTCAGCACGTATGTGTAAATATTTCGTAGGTACGCATAAAGATTACGGCAACAGGTGTGTGCCACACAGATGCATTTACGTTGAGCGGCGCCGATCCTGAAGGTTTGTTTCCTTCCGTGCTGGGCCACGAGGGCGCCGGCATTGTGGAGAGCGTCGGTGAGGGCGTGACCAATTTCAAAGCCGGTGATCATGTCATCGCGCTGTACATTCCCCAATGCAATGATTGCAAATTCTGTTTGAGCGGTAAAACCAATCTCTGCCAGAAAATTCGCCTCACACAGGGCGCTGGAGTTATGCCCGATGGCACATCGCGCTTCACGTGCAAGGGCAAACAACTATTCCATTTCATGGGCACTTCTACATTTTCGGAATATACCGTTGTCGCTGATATTTCCCTGACCAAAGTCAATGAGACTGCGCCCCTTGACAAGGTGTGCCTCTTGGGCTGTGGAATTTCCACTGGCTACGGCGCTGCTCTGAATACAGCCAAGGTAAGGTGCATTTAATTAATTATTCACCTCAAGCAATGAGCTCTTTATCGCTGCACACAGGTGGAACCTGGCAGTACCTGCGCTGTTTGGGGTCTGGGTGCGGTTGGATTGGCCGTTGGACTGGGCTGCAAGAAGGCTGGAGCCAGCAAGATCTATGGTATTGACATCAATCCCTCTAAATTCGAATTGGCCAAGCGTTTCGGCTTCACAGACTTTGTGAACCCCAAGGAAGTCGCTGACAAGGGCGCAATTCAGAACTATTTAATTGATCTGACCGATGGTGGCTTTGATTACACCTTTGAATGCATTGGCAATATAAACACAATGCGCGCTGCTCTCGAGGCCACTCACAAGGGCTGGGGCACATCAGTGGTCATAGGTGTGGCTGGTGCTGGACAGGAGATTTCCACGCGACCATTCCAATTGGTCGTAGGCCGTGTGTGGAAGGGATCTGCTTTTGGGGGCTGGCGTTCGGTTTCGGATGTACCTAAACTTGTGGAGGCCTACTTAAAAAAGGATCTCCTTGTCGACGAGTTCATTACGCACGAGATGCCATTAGCTAAAATCAACGAAGCGTTCGATCTAATGCATAATGGCGAGAGCATTCGTAGCATAATTAAGTACTAACACGTCCAACATGTGAACATAAATATTGTTATATACTTTTTTTTTTAATGCATGTACATGCCAAGCAACTGTATGAAATAATAAATATAAATACCCTAGTGCACAAAAAAACACAATACTGATAAACTTCTGGCTCCGTGCGCGGTTGTAATCTATGCTGCAAGTAGTATTCGTTTGAGAAGACGACAGCTTATCTGTTGACCTTTGCGCAAATCAAGTAATCTTATTATTTCTGGAATGAGCGTTGAGGCTTGGGACAATATTACTTTTTAGCATTGTAGCAATATCGATCTGTTCAAAAGGAATAATTCACACATATAAATTTGGATAGATGTATTTGGAATAATATAGTATATATTATTTTACAAATGTATGTCAGTTATTGGCTCTCTTCGGAATTACTTAAATATTTTAAATACTTAATGTTTAAAATCTTTAAGGATGGGCAAAAGTTTTATAAAGTCCGTTAAGATTTGCGCCAAAATATTCAATAGACAGGCTCTTTGTCGAAGCTATGTTTAGATTACAAACCTTAAGAAACAGTTAATTGGAAATCTTAAAAATCTGTCATATCTATACATATATATTTGTTCGATATTTTGAATGTATTCGTGTGATGTACTACAATAAGGTATATTGCTATTACTTCTAATTTTGTGGGGTATTACAATAAATGCGCATGCAATGTGAAGTTGTGTTCAATTGTGATTTAAAATAACAAATACTTATAAATGCATACACTTCTCTTAATAGCTATGTACATAATGTCTTTTATTTTATGCCAACAAGAACATCATGATATTGCATTTTTAATTTTAAAATTTTAATACATCGAATTGATTTATTTGTAATTACAATTACAATTTTGTCTATGGTCAAAAAGCCTTTAAAATACTTACAATAGAAACATGCACTAAATGAACAATGCTCATGGTAAAATACAATAATTTCTATAACTATGGGTATACATATATGAGATATAAGGGCTAGTATTCATAGTATATTGTTGAGGCATTTGCACAACATTTGGAAACAAAGAATTTCGCAAAAGGCAAGAGAATTCGAAATGCAGTCATAAGCAACAGCTGCTGACTTCTAATAGCTTATTGTAAATACTTTTAGTTAGAATTGTGAAATATATTTGAGCATTGCACGGACCAGATTAACTTTACGAAGACATGGTTGGCGGTTGAAATAGCGACAGAGAACGGCCTTGCCGACTGCTTCGCCGTCGTTTGCTTACATTTGGGTGTCGTAGTAGTAGAAATCATCAAAAGGATACCCGTAAAAAACCGGGTGCTATGGCACTCACGACCAGCGCGACTTCTGCATTTCGATTTGGCCCTCCAAAGTCTTGGCCAAGTAAATTACAAACAGCTGCAGGAACGCAATGCCCAGTGCGACGCCTGCGATCACATACAGATTACGTTCCGCCCAGACACGGACGATTTCAATGCAACCGCTGGTCCATATGCGTTTACTGGCTGCAGCCACAGAATGTTCCTGTACACCATAACCGCACATAATATTGACTAGACCCGAGCTGATGTCCGTGGCATTGATGCAACAGCTGTAGGGCACGCCGCACTTTTCCACTGAAGGGGATGAGCAGTTGAAGTATTCATTTTTGCCTGTAGAGTAGAGATATATGGGTCATGGTCTGTTTAATACTTGTATTCTAGACGTCCACTCACTCCAATCCTGATAGCCAGCATTGCTCAGACCACAACACTTGAACTCCTGTTGTGCAAAGTCTATAAAGTTCTGCAAATCGGAATCATCGCGGTACGAGTGAATAATCTTATCGGTAAACTGGAACTCCAGGAAAGAGTTCATGTTTTGCGGGAACACAAAGCAGATTATAGCTGAAAGCAAATAAAAATTAGTCAAATGTTAACTGCTGCTGCTCGAAATTCACGCCCACCAATGGCCATTTCCATGAGAAAGAAGACCAGCAAGCACATAGAGTAGAACTTCAACAAGCACGTATTTTCACGTAGTGCGCCCAGGCAACCAGCAAAGCTGACCACAAAGATGACTATGCCCGCTATGATCATCACTAAAGATATATTGAAGATCACATCATAAACGGTTTCCAACCGAACCCAACCAATGCCGTCCTGCAGCTTATCCATAAACGCGTATACGCCGATTGATAAAAGCAGCCCACCAAATAGCCAAAACAAAAAGTTTAGAAGAAAGATGAGGTATTTTACACAGCTGGAAACATATGTAAAATGATGTGGATACGACATTCGTGGATGCATATAGCTGCCGCCGCCGTGATGATATCTGTGGTTACTCATGGCAGCGTTTTGGTTTAGTTATCACAACTATTACTAATGAGTAATAAACAATTTGCAAAGCGTTGAATGTTTTCTAGTTTCTTCTTCTTTCAACTCTTGCCCTTTGTTGACGCCCTCTTTACGTGTGATCTGTGCTAGTAGCTCATGAAATTCCTCTTTTCACATTGTATCTTATTATCATCAGGGAAAACCTTCTGCTCTTAATTAAGCACACACTTCATTTTATTTTTCACCAATAATAAACAAATTTTAATTTGCAACTCTTTAGCTACCATCCAGCCAGCTAAACAAATGCTTATGACGTTGCCAGACTAACTAAATCGAAAATGCTATCGTTGGCAACGCGTTACATCAGCTGCTTAGGCTATCAGTCCGGCAACGTTGCTTATTTTCACAGGCAGCTGTTTGTAGCTTTTTAGTTTTTCATTTTCCTTCACTGAGAAAACGTTGCAGTTGTGTTTGCTGTTCGCAATATAAACGTTGCGTGGGACAGCTTAATAATTATAAACAAAAGCCAAAAATAGCGCTGTAAGCAAACAGCACCAAATTATATATTTGCAGGTGAGCGTTTTTCTGGCATAGCCGCAGCGCCCCCTTCAAGGACACTAGGTGTATACATGTGTGTGTGTGTGTTTGATTTCAGTTTGCCTTGCGTCTGGCGTATTTGGCATTTTTATTGGAAAATTAGTGTGACCGAGGCTTTGATTATAAAATATTCTACAGGCCAGATTGTTTTGTGTTTAGATTTTTTTGTTTTTAGCAACCGTTGCACAAACTGAGGCTTTCTCTCGAATGCGCTTTCTCTCCGTGGCTGTGTGCACACAAAGACACACAAACACACTCACACATATGTACATAGATGCGGAGAAATAGAATGCCAAAATAAAACACGGAAGTGAGAAAAATTGCATATATTTGGTTTAGTTTGAGTGTGTGGGCGTATAAAGAGAAACACTCACGGGCAAAACATTGACTTTTCGCAGTTGTTGGTTTGCCTCCTTTCGCATGTGATTGAATAACCCATCAGTGCCAAGTGCAAACTGCAGTCGCACCGTTGCCGTTATACGTACGTTTCGTTGTCAATTTGAGGCGCTCGAAAAATGTTTTCACTTTCTCGCCACGCACTGTGGGCACGAAATTTCGCACTTATTGCTAACAAGTACAGGTGCAACTTGATTCAATTGAAAACGGGAGCCATCGCTGTCTCTGCACTTCCAAACGTGCGTGCCTTTGCTGGTGAGTACTGCAGACCGAGGGGTGGGGTGGTTAGGCGGGTGGGCGTGTCCCGGTAACAGCTAATGCCAGCTTTATAAGTTCGCACAGTGAATGCGACTTAATTGTTAGATGTAACCCCAATACAATTGAATTGATTTTTCTATGCCCAATTATTGGCGAATTTCCCATTACGGTTCAATTTTCTAGTTCAAATAGTTGGCATTAATACCTTGCGCACTTTATTGCTGTCAATTTAAATGCTATTTTTAGCCGGCACAGTGATTCATGTTATTCGATCAACAATTCGAAATTGTTTTTTTTTTTTTGTTTTCAAAATGAATTCATCGTTTTTTATTGTGCGCGACACACTTCAGTGGCTTTTTTTTTCAAATGTACAATAAAAAAAAAAACCGGCCCCAATTTTCCCTCATTTCGTGCTTCGTGTTTATTTTTCTTTTTGTTTATATTGGGCGCCACTTAATTTAAGTGCGGCAGTATAAAATTATTTTTAACCTATGCGTTTCTTCGCTCAATTTGTAGCTATGCAGTTTCCAAAGACCTAACAAATCTGTTTACACCTTCAATTTACATTTTCCACTTCTTGTAAAGTGCCGATGGTTGCGGGCATTTTGTTTATACCTTGTTAATGCATATTTTATATATATATATATATTGCAGGGGTTGCTTTGGTTTTATACATTTTTGATTTTCTTTTGTTTTTCATGTTACTTTTTTCACGATTGCTTAACGCAAGTCATTGCTTCGCGTTCTTATCGTTTGTTGGCTAAGAGCTTGCATATTTTATAATTTATGGGCACCTTAAGTGTCGGCAAATCTACTGATAAGTTGGGGCCAGCTAATAAAATAATCATGATATGTTAGAACCGAAAGAATACTTAAAGTAACAATGATGATTTTCACAAATTAGTATTAAATTATGGATTTTAGTCGTTCTTATACTATTTTATAGAATAAATTAGTCGGGGATTGAAAACTTTACAGCTTTATGAATTAGGTACAAATTTCCAATTCGCAATAGAAAACTCGCCTAAAAAATGAACATAATGTAAGGCAAAAAATTAAAAAATAATCCATATTTAAAAATAAATGAAGATAACAGAAAGAAAAGTCAAGTTAGTTAGCTTATTATTTGTATTTTATACAAATAAATCAAAACCTTTAAACATGAACATGAAAATCGCAAAGAAAGGCGATTGAACAACATAGACAACAATGATTTCATTATTTAGTTGATTTTAAATAGTTGATTTATTAGTGCAATTTACTAAGAATACACAATACTCACTAGCTATAAAATGCATTTTTCTGGTAAACTGATAGCATTTGCTCAATTGTTGCGAAACAAAGTACAAAAGTACTCAAATGTTAACCGCAAGCTTAACAATACAAAGTCGACTTAAATTGCAGATTCACGTCAGGGCAACGGTGACAACAGCAACAACGGCAAGACGACAAATTCTAGCGGACTCAAAGCCAACATGGAGAATAAAAGCGAAAAGATTACCGTAAACAAGGAGGAACTGCGCAAACGTCTAACGCCGCTGCAGTATCAGGTTACACAAGAGGCGGGCACCGAGCGCCCCTTCACAGGTGCGCGCTTAAATAAAGTTGAACTTAATTAAGTAAAAGACCGCCAACCAATCTCTCAATCCGAATATTTCAGGTTGTTACAACAAGCACTACGAGAAGGGCGTATATCAATGCATTGTCTGTCATCAGGATCTGTTCAGTTCGGATACCAAATACGATTCGGGCTGTGGCTGGCCAGCATTCAACGATGTGCTCGATAAGGGCAAAGTCACACTGCATCGCGATGCCAGTATACCAGGTATGTGCACTATATCTATAGTGCAATCCAATTTAGCTTAGATACGTTCAGCACTTTTAGATGTTTTAGCAAAAGTTTTGCATTTGACATTTTAGTTTGTACAGTTTTTATTTTATTTGTTTTTCGCTTTGCAAATTCAAATTAAGTTGACGTTGAGCATCCTATATATCTATACATTAAGAATTCTCTATACCATAATAAAGAAAAAAACGTATAGATAGATTAGAGAAATTTGTTCAGTTGCAGAGACTGCTAAAAGCTCGATTCAAGTTTTAAAAACCTTTACAAATTTTATGGAAACGTTTTCCAACACCTTAACTTCAATCAATCTATACCCAGCGCAAGTGTTGAAAAGAACTTGATTATTGTATTGTCCTTATATGTTTGTTGTGTTACTGTTATTTAAAAAAAAAAAAAATGTACAAAAATATGTATACGTGTGTTATAGCCATTTTGAGAGCCATGTGTTCACTGTAGTTGTTGGGCCGCTTACGTGAAAACTGTTTGTGCCGTTATTTGTGAAGTTGTCCTGTTTAATGAATGTGCAACTTATCCAATTCTGAACAGAAAAATCAAAACTTACCTAATTGAGTATTATTCTTTTATCCACATCTTTTTTGCTAACCAATACCGAAAAAAAAAACAAACAATAACATTTTCAAATTTCCCAAAAATAAAATTTTGAAATTTCGTTATTTGCTGCAACACAACAAAAAAACAAAAAAAAAAAAACAACAACAACAACTACAAAAATTGACATGCTTAATACATGATTAAAAAAACAGTAGTCATTTCAAAAACGTTAGGGATGGTACGCACCGAGGTACGCTGCTCCAAATGCTCGGCTCACATGGGCCATGTGTTCGATGATGGACCTCCACCGAAGCATCGGCGTTTCTGCATCAACTCGGCGTCGATTGATTTTGTGAAAAGAACAACAACGGCGACGACGACATCGTCCAAAAAATAATGTTTTCGTTTATTCATGTTGTGAACAATGAGATTCTATACAGAAAAGATTAATTATATGTTAAGCTAAAGTACATATAGTACATGAATATACAAATATTATAGGACCTTATTTACATATGCAAAAATACTCATGATATATTGTTGATATGTTTATAGCGCCGATTCAACACAGTGTGTGAGATTTGAGGTTGAGAACCTCATATAACGGAAATTCCATTTATGTTAAGGGAACAGGCCGTCTGTACTAAACTTTTGTTTTAGTTCGTATTTTCCTTCACTCACTTTTAATTACGGTTTCAATGTAACTCGAGTATTCAAAGCTTCCATCAAATTCTAATTCATAAAGCACGCACAAGCTTCTTCATCAATTTAGTTTGTCGCCAAGAATCATAACAGCGCTCTTTATTATACTATTGTTGGGTTAGGATACATTTAACACATGTATTATATATATATATATATATATTTATTTATATTATATGTATCTGTGTACCAAAGCTGGCTTAAAGATTTGGTCGCATCGCTTTATTATACTTATTTTTTACATTTTTTGGTAATTTTTATTGGTTTTACGTTTGATTTCTATTTACTTTTGTTGCTTTTTGTTCATATTATATTTATATTTGTTGTTCTACATTTCAAGACTATCGTAGCCGATCCATATATTGTCCAACAAACTGAATAATGTGTATTTTTCGTATATTTTTCTATTTCTCCTTTTTTTAACTCGCTTCGAAAAAAAAAACAATACCAATACTTAATGTACCGCCTGTAAACGTTCTTTGGGGGTTTGTTTTGCTAACAAAACACACACACACACACTCACTCAAAACATTTAAAATCATTGTTGAACTGTAATCCCAAACACTGATGCATAAAATGGCTTAATAACAATAAATTTTAAAACTCTATACTGTTCATAAATAAAAATGTACATCTAAACTAAATCATTTGCAAAAAAAAACTTTATTTTCAATTTTTTTATACGCTACATTTCATTTTTCAATCGACGCCGTCCACTGTTGTTTTTCGCTCTACTCCTTCTTTCGCTATTCGTATCTCTTTGATGCACTTGCACTACAACATTGTCATCTGTTTCGCTCTCTCTGCACAAATGCATATTTCCGTTACCTTTTCTGTTTCTCTTATTGCTTGCATCAACTCTGTTATTTAACGTGTACGCTCTTGCATATTCCACCCTCTTACTCTCACTCACTCGATCTCTCGCTGTCTCTCTCTCTCTGCTTTTCACATCCCCTATTTTGTTATTTATTTTGTAATCTATTTAATTCTTTAATAAATCGTTCTTAATCTGAACAATTTCAATGAAATGCAAATATCAATGATTGTAAAAACAAACAAACAACAATGAATACGTAACTCGATCTATGCAAAAACAAAAACAAAAAAAATGAACGAACGTACCCAATTAATCTCACAATTGCAAAATACAAATTAAAAAGGGGGCAATATTTTACTACTAATTGCACATCCAGAACGCATACGCACCGAGGTACGCTGCGCCCGCTGCAACGCCCACATGGGACACGTGTTCGAGGATGGACCCAAGCCCACACGCAAGCGCTACTGCATCAACTCGGCGTCCATTGAGTTTGTCCAATCGGAGCCAACGTCATTGACAACGACGTCGGCGCAAGCCTTAAGCCCCCAGGGCACGCCTATTGCGCAGCAGTAAGAGAGAAGATGCCTGCAAGGAACGACTGGGATGAAACAATCAACGAATACGAAATATGTGCGAAAGAGTCTAACCTCAATGTTGCTGTTAAGAGTTTTTACATGTATTTTCTAACTTTCCGTAAATGTGGCCAATAATTTCTAGCATAGTCTATTGATATATATTTTGACGAATGGGCAGCTGCCCATACAAATTGTTCACAAAGAAAAAATAACTATACTACTTCGTCTGTTTGTGTAAATAGCTAAACGTTTCTCTTTTACTTTGTTATACATATGCGTACATACATAAATACTTTGTAACACTCTCACTCACACACACACACACACACACACACACACAAACAATTTTAAAATGTGTGCGCTAATAAACGTGTATTTTTTACAATATACAAAAATCAATTGCATATAATTATCTGTCGTTGTTTTTGTTCTGGTTTGGCGCCAATCACAGATGAGATGCAAACAGCTGTTTTCACATCGCGTTGCCAACCAAATGCTGAGCACAGCTGTTGCATATGCATATCAAGTGTGATGTAACAATCGTCTTGGGCATGAAAACAAATCCATTTTGTGTTGACAATAATAAATCAAATAAATTGAAGTGAATTCGGGTTGCTGTTGCTATTGTTGTTGTTCCAGGCGGCTTTTAAATCAATTAAATCAACAGTAGAGTCGATAACAAGCGTGCACAGTAGAAATGTGCACGGTCCGCATGCCTTGTGTGAAATTGTATGTGGTGTAGGGTATCCCATATTCAGCCTGACCAACAACTGTTTGCAAACACTCAAACCTATGTACATACATATGCTTGTATATATACATACATGTATGTGTATCTCTGACATTCAAAATGTTGTATGTCGTGTATCGCAAGCCGGCAAATTGGTCGCCGAACGTCAAAGTGAGCGCAACGTGCGCCGCGTTTTGTAACTTATGAGTTTTCAATTATCTAACAATTGTATAAAGGAGCAATCAGTGTGTCGGCATTAATGCAAGATAATGACATCCAAGCAGCCACCCAATAAACCAACCCAACGATTAGATTAAACGCCTGCCTTGTCTGCAGGTCGTTTCCAAGAAGCGCAGTTCGAGTTTCTAAAATTAAACAAGTTAAAAAGCATGCAATAAAATATGCAAGTCCGTTCAAAACAAGCGTAAAGAACTGCCGATGTGGTTCATTATAATATCAACCATATCTTCGCATCAGACTTGTTACGACACCTGAGGTTTCATTGTGTTGCGTTACGTTACATTGCGTTACGTGAAACGGTTACAAGATGAAGGAATGGCTAAAAATCTCATGCCTGCTATGCGTATTTGGCTTTGTACGCGAGATCCGACCCTCTGAGCCCTATGTCACCGAATATCTTCTAGGCCCATGGCGCAACATAACGGAACAACAGGTGAGTTTGCGTATTGGCAAGTTTTTTAAAATTATCCTACATTGAATCGCTTCTTTATTAAAGCTAACACAAGACGTTTATCCAGTGGGAACATATTCGCATCTGGTTCAATTGGTTTTTGTTTTTCTTATTACGGATTTTCTGCGGTAAGTTTGCCCTACTTGCAAAAAAATCACAATAATCGGTATTATTTACTCTTAGCAGCTATATCAATTAAAACTTATCCATAGCTTCAAATAATTGCTGACTCTAAGCAATAATGTTTAAGCTTCATAAGATTTTTACACGTTTGTTTGTTCAAATTCATTTGAGGGGTATTTCATACTTTTTCAAAAATGTGTTCTTCCTTGGTGGAAATAAAGGTCAAAGGTCATTATATACCCACATATCATTTGAGACGTGTTTCACCAATTTCGCAAAATCAAAGCTTCCTCTGTGGAAAGCGCGATTCTAAGATATTTTTGGATCACTTTTAGTTTTCGTCCAATTTGCTGGGTTATATCAGCTTAAAGATCGAATGGATAATCAATATGTGAAGCACGTATGAGACGTATGTGTGTATATATGTAATGTTTATTTTATACGTCTGCAAGATTTTTGTAGTTATTGTATATGAAAACACACTTGTATTTATTTACTGAGCAAATTGGTTCACCTGAAATCTGTCTTCACCTTTCCATTGCAGATATAAGCCTCTCATAATTACAATTGGTGCCGCTGGCGTGATCATCTGGAGCATGCTCATTTGGACAACCAGCTTGGTGTCATTGCAAATATTGGAATTCTTTTATGGTACTTACATGGCCGCCGAGGTGGCCTACTACACGTACATCTATGCCAAGGTGGACAAAAAGTATTATCCGCGCGTTACCTCGCACACACGTGCTGCAATGTTTGCCGGCAAGCTAATCTCGGGCATTACATCGCAGCTGATGATAAATCTGGAGCTGATGAACTACAAGCAGCTCAACTACATAACGCTAGCCAGTAAATTAACTAACTAAAAACATACCAGAGGCTTCTACTAATCTTTTTCGATAATTTAATAGCACAAATTCTGGCCATGCTGTGGGCGTTCGGACTACCCAAAGTGGACAAGAGCCTGTACTTCCATCGTGAAGTATATCTAAGGGAGGCCACGCCTGAAACTCCCCAGACAAACCAGCTGCAACTGCAGCTGGAACCGCAGTTGGAATCTGGCGAACCCGACGTAGCCAGCCAACAGACCACCGACCAGCAGGTCCAGTACAATCCCATGCGGCTGCTGTGGCAGCACTTTTATAATGCCTACACAAATCCGCGAGTGGTGCAATGGAGCCTATGGTATGCCATTGGCCTTGCTGGCTATCTGCAGGTCACCTACTATATGCAGGTGCTGTGGAAGGTTATCGAGCCCGAGCCACAGATTGCATGGAATGGTGCTGTCGACGCCGTGCTTACCGCCTTAGCGGCGCTAAGTGCTTTGGCCGCGGGATATCTGCACAGCGGTCGCTTGAGGCCGCGAGCCAGTTTGCTTGTATTATCAGTGCTGTCTGCGCTAGAAGGTGGCAGCGTTCTGATCTGCTGCTGGACCCATGATATCTATTGGTCCTATGTGGGCTTTGTAATCTTTGGCGCACTGTACGGCTTTACCATTACTGTGGCCAGGTATATGCGATGCTTCCAAGCTTATGATTTAAATTAAATGCATTTATTTACAGCGCTGAGGTGGCACGTAATCTGCAGGAGGACAGCTTTGGCCTGGTCTTTGGCATCAACACGCTGCTGGCTTTGGTCTTCCAGTCGTTGCTGACCATTATTGTTGTCTCCGAAACGGGCTTTGAGCTCGATGCTGTCGGGCAATACACGGTCTATGCTTTTTATTTTATAGCTGTTGCCATCATATATTTTATATCCGTCATGGTAGAGCATCTATGGTATCGCGGAGCGCAGCAAGTCCAGGAAAAAACTGAAATTATAGATTAGATCTTAGCAGTGGCGTATGCAGAAATTTGCAAATTTTTAAATGTGAGCTTCAATATTAATTGCTCGCATTCCCACAAACAGTTTAATCAATGAATTGAATGGATCCTAATGATCGAGCCTTATACGGGCTTCATCATCGTAATATAATAATATTAGTTTTCTTGCTTTATTTCTTATTCGGGTTTTCTTATTCCAAATTATTAAAGTTTTCAAAACTGTATTTTCTGCGAAGTTAAAGTTTGAAATCATTTCCGCGTACGTCACTGAGTCTGAGCATTTGTACTTAATAGTTATCTTTAATAAGCTGTACCATTTAGATAGAAATGAAATATGTTCCTATGAGAAGCACAAATTTCAATCAATAATTGTAAATTACATTCGTTGTAGAAGTTACTTTGTGTTTTTATTGACTCATTTTAACAGATTTACTTAATGCATAATTGTATAAATGACAATCAAGTCGTACGAGGAAACTGCAGATGGAATCATGCAAGAACTTAATTAAATAAGTTGAAAAACTTAGACCCAACCATTAAGGAAAAACACTTGGCACGGAAAAAAAAACCTGTTAATATCAGCAAGTCTATTAAAAGTTTGTATTTGCATTTCTAATTATTTGTGCATACAAATATTTAGAACACATTTACGAGGTGTGTTCACAGACTAAGCGGAAATTTGTAATTTTATGGGTACTATATGTGGGATTAAAATTAGTTTTTCTTTGTCTTGTTGGTAAACACGTCCAACAAGTATCTACACATTATTTGCCAAACCAGAAACTTAGTTTCTCTCTGATTGCGATCCGAGCAGCACTTTGAACGCGATAAAGAGTTAAGAGGTTTGGCACAAATGATTTCAAATGGCAAAACGAGCAATATTTCTTATAAACTTATACGCCCTGTTGTACTGCAATTTAAAGTACGTTTTTTAAATATGCTTGGACTCCACTTATATTCTATTCTCACATGCATATATATATCTATATATAATTTGCGAAATCCTTTAATACGTTGTTCACTTAGTTAATAGACGCAATTAACCTTCGGCGTATTATTGCTCTTTATAGCAGTTATTAAATAGCCGCAGTTGCCGTTTTTAATAAGTGAAACTCATTAAATTGCTTACACGGTAATCTTGAAGGCGCTTTAAGTTTATTTTTAAATAATGCATCGATTTTTACTGTGTGAATTTTAGCAAGTAGAATGTGAAAGATCGTGCCAGCGATTAGGGAAAATTATCGCGTCCCGCCATCGTCTACGCTAATCTGTAAACTGATTACAATAAATAAAAAAAAAAAAAAAAGAAAGAAACTATGTACTTATTGTTCAACTTATAACCCCATAAAAGTATGTGTAATTATTTTAATTATTTGTATGCTATACATGACAAGCTTGAGCTAGTCAGCGCTGTCAGTTCCGTCTGGCCTAGCCGTCGATTAGAAGGTGTGCTGTTCGGGCAGACGTCGGGCTAGCGATGGAGTTGTCTTGGCTAAGAATATCAGGTGTGCTCTGCGTGTTTGGATTTTTGCGCGAACTGCGTCCCTCGGAGCCCTACCATGCCGAAATACTGCTGGGCGAGTGGTACAATGTGACACAGGATCAGGTGAATCGGGCTGTCTATCCCATTGGCACCTACTCATATCTGGCTTTATTGATTGTTGTTTTTCTGATCACCGATTTTCTCAGGTAATCGTAATACACTCACACACACACACACACAGAGTTAAATTGACTATTCATGCCCACAACAGATACAAGCCAATGATTATTGCGAACGCATTAACTGGAATTATTGTTTGGAGTGTTTTGATATGGACGACAACGTTGTTGGGCTTGCAAATTGTCGAGGTGTTTTATGGCTTTTATCAGGCCACCGAAGTGGCATACTATTCGTATATATATGCCAAGGTCGAGAAAAAGTATTACCCCCGTGTTACCTCACACACCAGAGCGGCCATGTTTGTGGGCAAGCTGGTGGCCGGCTTGTCCGCCCAGTTGCTTATCAGCTTTGATTGGATGAACTATATGCAGTTGATGTACATATCTGTTGGCTGTAAGTGTGCCGTTGATAACTATATAACTATAGCTATAATAGCTACTTTTGCCACACAGCGCAAGTATTGGCCCTTCTCTGGGCCATTGGATTGCCCAGAGTTGAGAAGAGTTTGTATTTCCATCGGAAAGTCAGTGCCAGTGTCGCCGCGAATACACCTGTTGCACCTGTTGACAATATTGAGCCTAAGGATGCAAAGGACGCAGCTGCATTGTCAGTTGCCAAAATGGATCGTGCTCAGCCGATTCAGCTGCTGTGGACGCACTTTCACAGCGCCTACACAAATCCAATGGTTCTACAGTGGAGCTTATGGTATGCCATTAGTCTGGCCGGCTATCTGCAAGTCACAACCTACATGCAAGTCGTATGGAAATCGTTTGAAAACGAGCCCACGGTCAGTATAGCCTTTATCAGCCGTTAGCCTTTATCAGCTGATCGTAATCGTAATCTTCCGTAGATTGTATGGAATGGGGGCGTGGATGCCGCCTTAACAGCACTTGCTGCTCTCTTCTCTCTAATGGCAGGCTATTTGCATGCTGGTCGTTTAAAAACGCGCTCCAGTCTGTTATTGTTGGCTGTGCTCTCGGTTCTTGAGGGTGGCTGCATATTATTGGCATCCTGGACAACCAATATATATCTATCATATCTGGGCTATGTATTATTTGGGGCGTTATTCGGTTTTACCATTACGGTGGCCAGGTAAGTAGGTTTTTCTTTTCGTTTCGGCCTATTTCTGCCAAGAAACAATATTATATTGCAGCGCCGAACTGGCCCGAAGTCTGGTGGAGGATAGTTTCGCCTTGATCTTTGGAATTAACACACTTATTGCCCTCATCTTACAAACTTCCCTCACTCTCGTAGTCGTCTCCGAGAGTGGAGGTCTTAATTTGACCACATTTGAGCAGTTTACCGCCTACGCGTTTTATTATATTGTGATAGGCACTGTGTATTTTATAGCCATCATCGTTCAATATGCTTTGACATGCAAAACTTAATATATGGGCAAAATTGAGAAGTCCCAATTACAATATTTTATGGTTAGTGGAGTTGTGTGTTCTTGGTCGTATCTTAAAAAATAATTTTTATGTAAATACTTACGATACCATAAGAAAATATTGTTACATGTCAAACAATAATATATATACAATTCTGTGTTCAAGAAGTGTATTTCTCGATTTTTAAAAAATATTCTCTTTAGGTTTAAGATTAAAGTATATTAAATGTCTTATTTTTATATAATTCTTAGTGTTTGCATACTTATAAATTTCACATTGTTATTGAAGAATTTATTTCCGTTATTTTGAATTGCAGTCTTGCCAGATCAAGCAAAAAGAGTAACATTTCAGTGTAAGACGGTTCCGATAAATATATAATTATCGAAACAACTGGATTAACTTAATTTTCTTTTTGAATAATTATAAACATTTTTTAAGAATTCCGTTTGTGGCAGATTTTATTTATGCAGCATCGCGAGAATATTGTCAATGCTTTAGAGAACGCAATAAAATAATACTAGATATAATACTGAAAATTTCAAAAATAAATTCAATGGAATGGCCTCACTGATTTGAGTACTTTTATGACAGCTGAAATTCTGTTTAAAGCGCTGCAATTGCAATAGAAATGTGCATTCCAGTAAAACAATGCAAATAAAGAAAACCCACTAAACTGGCTGCTGCTTCGGTAATTTAGCGCGAGTGTTCGTTCGTTCCATTGCAATAGTTGGTGAATGGTAAAAGCGTTCTGTAGCTCAGTATGTAGATAAGGAACTCGTGCTCGAATCTCAACTTATCGAATTATTTCAAACTAAAAAAGATTGTATTTTTAAAATGCGGTTCATACGACGCGGCTTGCTAAAGCTGCTGCTGATAAGCAGTGTATTGCTGATGATCGTTACATTTTTGTTCCTCAACGAGCCAGAGGAAATAGATAAAAGCATTAAAATGTAAGTGTTTGGAATTGAAGGAACAAACTGATGTCTACTTGCATACATATATGTAGATACACATTTTACTTGTTGTTTTTTTCCCCCCTTTTGTTAATATTCCGTTTTGAAGCGAAATAATTGAGAGATCGATAAGGTCTGCTATGAATCAGGGCGAGTGCCGCCAGCCCCACTTGCCCGTGGATAGTCCAGACATCATGAAATTCTATAAGCCGGTTGACAAAATAAACTGCGGCTCCAGGCCGGATTGGGTGATGTGCGAGGTAAATGCTAATTAATACCTGCGTATTTGCTTTATGTATGCTTTGTGTGCATACATATATGTATATGTTTATTTGCACGCATGTTTACCTACTTCGTTTGAAGATTTTTCTTTTGAATCTTTTTTTGAAATGAATTGGTTACCGGTATCATTTGTTTACATGCTTTTCATATTTGAAAATGATTAATTAAGGTAATTTCTTACGCAGAAATCGATATGTTTCGTCAAGCCCGAGATAACAGCAATACACGGCGATATAACATGCTCCTATACAGATATAATACGCACATCGGACTACACCGCACGCTTTGGACGAACCGTAAGGATCAAGGAGCCATATGTGCTGCAGCATAGCGATTTCGTTCGGGTTGCGTGTCATGCGGATAGCGGGGAGAGATGGTTTGGCATGGCATTCGGAATTCGGGACACTGTGCCACGGCCCATGGCTCCCAATTTGGCGCCCAATATGGTTATGCTGCCAGCCGAAGTAGTTGCCCAGGCACAACAACAGATACAGGACCTGCCGACGACACCGTTTTACAATGTTTTGATGTTTGGCTTCGATTCTTTGAGTCGGAACGCCTTCATGCGAAAACTGCCGCGCAGCTATGCCTATTTAACCGAGCAGCTGGGTGCCATTGTACTGCAGGGCTATAATATTGTGGGTGATGGAACCCCACAGGCTCTGGTACCGCTACTCACAGGATATACAGAACTGGAGCTGCCGGAGACAAGGAAACGGGTGGCATCCGCGGGCACCGTCGATGCCTATCCGATGATTTGGCAGGATTTCGCCCGGCTCGGCTACTTGACGTCATTTAACGAGGATTTGCCATATGTTGGCACCTTTACATATCGAATGAACGGATTCGATGCCCAGCCCGTGGATCATTATTTACGCACTTTTTACGTGCAGGCATCGAACATGCTGAGTGGCAGTGAGCCCAACTGTGTTGGCAACCAGCCAGATCATCTAATTATGCTGGATTACACCAAGAATGTAAGTATGATTAATTATTTCAACAATTTCAGAATTGAATTAGTTCTTTTGCAGTTTATGATGAAGTATCGGGACTTGCCACGCTTTGTGTTTAGCTTTCATGGCGGCCTCTCGCACGACTCTATTAATCTAGTGGGTGCGGCCGATGACGATGTGCACGATTGGCTGGTGACGCTCAAAGAGAAGTCCCTGCTCGACGATACCATACTAATATTTATGGCCGATCATGGCAATCGGTTTGCCGAAGTGCGCGCGACGCTGCAGGGCAAACAGGAGGAACGTCTACCCTTCTTTAGTTTCGTATTTCCCGAATCCTTTAAAAAGCGCTTTCCGCAGGAGTATAAAAATTTCGTAGCCAACGAGCACCGTCTCACCACACCCTTTGATATACATGCTACGCTCAAGCACCTTATACGTAAGCTTACTTCTGGATCGAATGCGATATCAATATTGTCATTATGCTTTCTGGTTCCACAGAGCTTCAAACATCTGGTCTGAGTTACCTGACGCCTGAAAACAGCTACGATGGCTCCATCAGTGATGGCTCCGTTCAGCCCAAAGAGATACACATCTCAGAGCAGGCGATGGAACGCGCCATATCGCTCTTTGAGCCCATACCCAGCAATCGTTCCTGCGCCGATGCATACATTGAGCCTCATTGGTGCGCTTGCCTCAAATGGCAGCCGTTGCAGCTGAACGATAGCCGCTACGAAGGCATCATTCTCAAAGCGGCCAGCAGCATTGTGGAGACTATCAATGCGGCGACGCAAGAGCGGCGGAATCTGTGTGCACCACTCCAGCTGCAGAAAATCAACTGGGCGCTGCGCTTGGAACCACACAAGGAACTATTGCAGTTTAAGTCCAATAGGGATACGGATGGCTTTCTGGCCGACATGAGCGGTCACACTGTGGTGCATGAAGAGTTATATCAGTTGCAGCTTGTCACCCAGCCAGGCCAGGCATTGTATGAGGCCAGTGTTGTTCACAATTTGCACACATTTATTGTCACTAGCAAACTCTCAGATATATCGCGTGTTAACAAATACGGCACGCAGGCGAAATGTATTTACGAGCGCGATCCGGAGCTGCGCAAGTTTTGCTACTGCCGGGACTAAACCTAGTCAATGCACAAGCTGCACTGAAAAAATCCAGTGGAGTATAACCCATAAGACTTTAGTTTTCCTAATTCTTTACATATATTATGTATGGAATATGAAATAACGTTTGTATTCATGTGCCAAAGACACTAAGCTCTTGTCACAAATTTAAGTTTGTAGCTCTCTTCGTACTAGTTCCTTAGCACAACTCAACTCAAATATTATTGATAAAAACCAAATTTTGAAATAAAAACAAAAGAGACTAAGTTCTGTGTTTGTCCTATAATCTATAGTTAACGAAATCAATTTTATAATTTATAATTTTTGTTGTTTTCAATAACATTTCGTGACAATTAGTGTATGACAACATATATGGAAGATACCCAACCGAACAGTTTACTCAATTAATAAGAAGGTATTTATGTATTTGTATATTTTATATATATTTTTATTTGAATATTCTCAAAAACTGCTTATATACTTCTGCTCATACAACATTAATTGCAGAGCGCATCAATGTGTGTTATTTTTATGGTATTACTGCCTGTATAAATTCGTAATCGCGTAATATTGCTATATACATAAATGGGGGATTTTCATAAAATGGAGTTTGACAAACATTTTGTAAATAACCAACTGCATATAGCAAAATTCTGATATTGTAACTTGTAACCTGGTAATGTACTCGCCTTTTAAATGCTAAAAGGCCGATATATATAGTCCGACAAACAAATGCGAAACATATGTTAATCATATTTCAACGGATTTTTGAGTAATGGGCTATAACACTTTGTGTACGTTTCATTTGCCAATATTGTAAATGGCACGTTTCAACTGTCTGTCTGGTCTGTTAAAATGTATTAATTATTGCATGTGTTTAGGTAAATATATATATATATATATATATATGTTTAACTGTTATAATTTATTAATATACTTATTTTTGTATAAGTAACTATAATATATCGCACACGGTACGAATCTTAACTTTGGATTGAATGCGAAAGATTGAGCTTTATCTTTGCTTTCACAATACTTCTAATATTATTTAAAAAAAAATATTATTTATGTGTTATTAAACCTATTGTAATCATGATCATGGATTTATTTGTAGAAAAATACAAAAAAAATCAATAAATATTTATTGAACAAAATAGCATCGGATGTAATATACAAGTTGGAAACTAAAAAAAAAGTATACTAGGACCGAAACAGAATATTATAGTTAAAATATGTTAATTGTTATGTTGTATCTAAAAGATAGCCTTTCACTGAGTGGGTGCTTACGTCCGCCTGCAAAAGTATCGGATACTTTACGATATAGACTCGTTAAACACCCGCTCTTAGACAACTTAAAATCTAAACAGATAAATGGCCAATACACGATGCCAATACAACTTGGGGTGTACCTAATTCGGGACTTTGCATTGCATTTCAGATGTTAAACTAATTGTAAATTGTAATGATTATTTGGTTATGTGCATGAGAGAGTTATCTGAGTGTGCAACTCGCTTAGCTATAGGCTGCCGTTGCCGCTGCTGTGCCCGTTGACATTTTGTGTCACGATACGGAGGTCGCCAGGAACTCTTGGAGTCGCTGCACGGTGCCGCGATCCAATTTGCACAGATCAAAGTCAAACGTTTTGTGGGTGATCTCATAGCAACCGGTGGCGGCGATCATTTCAACAACCTGTTGCAGTTCCTCGTTATCCTGCAGCGTCATTATCTTGTGATGCAGCTCCTGCAGTTCGTTCAGGTATTCTGTGGGCAATGGCGTATAGTTGCCGCCGCCACCACTTACCGGCTGATTGAGTGGCTCCACGGGCGAATGGCCGCTATTGCTATTGTTGTTGTTTATTGCTGGACAGCTGTTGTTATTGTTGTTGTTGTTATTATGGCTGCTCGGGGAAGAGCCAATACTGTTGTTGCCCGCTGACGCCGCTGTTACTGCTGCTGCCTGTCGCAGAGATGGCGACTTGGATTTCTCGCGAACTGATTTGCTCGCCTGCTCCTTTTTTGTGGATTTTAGTGGCGGCTCTATGAAAGTGCTTGCAGCATTGCTGTTGCCGTTGTTGCTATTCTGCGAGTTGCGTCGATTGCGTTTCTTTTCCTCCTTGAGGTCCGCCTTGTCTAGCTTCTCCGATTTGGCGTCTGGTGACTTGTCCAGCTTCTCGGACTTTTCAGACTTTTCGGCTGACTTTGACTTGACTTTGTGCTCTTTGCCCGCATTATCAGACGCTTTGGTATCCTTTGCATGCGCACTGTTCTGTGCACTCTTCGCGGCCGTTGAGCTCTTTTGTTGGCTGCTTTTTGCCGGCAGATCGGGAAAACTGCTGTTGGAGCTGTCTGAATGCTGCAGCGTGGCGGCTGTTGCTGCTGCCAGTGCATGGGTGGCTGCCAGGTCTGGAGCCGATTGAGCCGAATCCATGTCGCTCAAGTCCAAATTGCTAGAACCCTTAATTTGCGCCTGCGCCGCACCAGCAGCTGCTGCTACTACTGCAGATGTCGCCGTCGACGCCTGTTTATTGCTGTGCTTACTGTCCGCGTCGCGCTGTCGTTTCTCCTCTTTGCTGGCGGTCTTATCCTTAGACTTTTTATGCTTCTCTTTCTTGCTGATTACAGCTACAGTTTTATCCGTGCTTCCTTCGGTCTGCTGCTGGCTGCTCAGTTCTGTTTTGAGTGATGTTTCAGTAGCTGTTCCAGCTGCTGCTGTAGCTGATGATGGCTTGTCCGCTGCAGATGACTGCTGCACCTGTTGCTGCTGTCCCTTTTCCTTTTCGCGGTCTTTGGGCTTGTCCTTATCGCGCTCCTTCTCCTTGTCCTTGTCGCGTTCGCTGCGCTCCTTGTCTTTATCTTTATCCTTGTCTTTGCTCTTGTCCTTCTTTTTGTGCTTGTGTGATTTCTTGTCCGCGTTGCTATTGCCATTGCTGCTCGTTGTTTTGTCGGCTTTGGATTCAGCGACTTTCTCGGAGGATTTTGTCGATGCTGTGGCTGATTGCGCCGCTGGCCCAGTCAGCTCCTCTTTGTCTTGGGCACGTTTACCGCTGCTGGAGGCTAGACTGCTGGCGCTCGCGCTGCTACCCAGTGAATTGGGCGTGGCCTTACCGGTAGCCTTTAGGGCATCGTAGTTGGTTTGAGATTGTTGTGGCTGTGAAGTTTGCGCTTGATTGCTGCTGCTACCGGTAGCCGGACTGTCGCCGTGTCCGCGCTCATCTTTTAGAGCTCGTTTATCTTTGTCGCGCTCCTCGCGCTGTTTTTCGCGCTCGCGCTCACGCTCCTTGTCTTTTTTCTCTTTTTTCGACTTTTTGTTTGAGCTTCGCTCCTTGTCCTTTGACTCAGATTTACCCGCTGACTTGTGCTCGTCGCGCTCCTTGGAACGAGCATTTGGCGTGCCAGCGGCATTGTCCGCCACCTGCTTCTTGGGACTCATTTCGGTTAAGCCGCTTCTAGCGCCAGCCTTGGGGCTGACCGTGCGCCTGACCAATGCACCAGTGACTGCTGCAAGTGAGCCACTACTGCTCTGATCGCGTTCGCGCTCCTTCTCGCGTGTTTTGTCCTTCTTCGATTTTTCCTTGTCTTTGTCATGCTTGCTGCTGCTGCTCTCGCCGGATTTGCCAGATTTGCGCTCCTTGTCACGGCCATGCCGATCCTTCTTGTCCTTCTCGCGCGGCTTGTCTGAACTGTTAGACTTGTCGCGTTCCTTACTGGACTTCTCTTTAGTATCATGGGAGCCGATCTTACTGCTACTGGATCCAGTTTGTAGTTTTGCATCTGGCGAATGTTTGGGCGCAGTTATAGCCAACAGATTAGCACCAGCCATACTGCCTTTGGTAATGGGCGGGCCAAAGACTGCGGAGAAGGCATTCACCTTGCCATCGTCAACGCGCGACTTGTGCTTCTTACTGGATCCGGAACCCGACTCGATCACCATGGTGCTGCCACCACCCTTCGCTTTCACCAGGTTTAACTCCGTTCCGGCTAAGTCACCTCCAACGCTGGGTGACACTGTTCGGCTGAGACTGCCGGAAGCAGCAATGTTGGCACCAAAAACGGGTACACCGCCGCCACGCATCAATTTGGCACGAAACTCCTCCGAAGGCGCCTCAAATACATGCGTTTTGACTTCAACGCGATGCCGAGGCGGTCCCGAATTTTGCAGATCCAAATCATATTGATACATAACGCGCTTCGGCTCGTCCCTATTCCGAAAATGTATCTCAACGGGTAATATGAAGCCGGCATAGCCCGACTCCTGTATGGCATAAGGTGGCTCTTTGATTACTAAAAAACACAAATTGATTTTTGGCGCGTAAATTGAAAACACTTATGAATGGAAATCTTACCACGCTTTGGCTTGGGAAATGACTCGTGGAGTATAAAGACGACCTTGTCAACGAATGCGCTTATGTCTGCCTTGTTCACGCCCTGCACATAAATCTCCCAATCGTGGGTGAAGGCCTGTGGATGTTTTTTGCTGCGCAGCTTTGATGTATGACCAATTTCGAACTGCACCTTGACTGCCATATCGAAGACGCCGGCAACGGTAACGCATCAAACTTCTATAGCGGCTATATCAATATTCTGCAAGAGTTTTCGTATATAAACAAAAGTATATGCAATTTGGCTGCTCCACTCTGAGGCGGCGCAGTGTGAGTGTCTGCTAGAGTTTTATATGTGTTGGTGTACCTTAACGCAAAATGCCATGTGCAAGGCTAGTGCAACAATATATGAAAGTGTACTGATTTGCGATTGTATGCTATTCACTGTAAAAGTGCGTGTAAAGCCCACTTCACACCAGCTTTTTATATTTAATAACAAATACGGGCAATGAAAACGAAAACACTCGCACCACATACACATTGGGTAATATCGCTATCGATATATGTAAATAACACAGATAGTTTGACAATACAGCTCTGGTCTTGTACTGAAAGGTTATCCGATTTAAACATTCGATAGAACACCATTTATTGACTGGACATTCGAATTCGAATGATTCCAATTGGCACAAGATGATAATACCTTCGAAGGTATATAACATAACTTTAAAACTCATCTATATCATTATAAGATGTACCAATAAAATTGCAAACAGTTTAAAGTTAACTTTAAAATCAATTAGCTTGCATTAATTAATAGCTTAACAATGTAGATAAATAAATACCAAATTGTTTTCATTGAACATCCCAGTGTTATCGATAGCCTCTAAAAATACCAACGATAATAATCACGATAGTTGTGCAACTATTGGTAGCAGCTGATTTGCCATTCGCGTGCAACTGCAAAAACAATAAAATGTTTTGCGAAAAAAACCGCAATAAAACTTTGGAAAATACAAAAAAGTAAATGTAATACAACGCCCACTTATTGGTATTGTTCCAACATGGCGAGCGACTATAGCGCAAGCCAATTTGCGTCCACAAACACATGTGCAGCAAGTGCAGCAAGCTCCTCGCGCTGGCTAACAGAGGAAGTCTTCAAGTTGATCGATATTGTGCAACGCGATGAGGCCATCTACAATCCCCGACACAAATATTACTTTTGCCGGCCATATGTGGAGAACTTTTGGCGTGAAGTGGACTTAAAGTTGGAAAAGAATCCCGGCGCTAGCCTTGCCAAATGGACAAATCTGCGCATTTCATTTCGACGCGAGTACACAAACTACCTGGAAGAGAAAGTGCCGCCGTGTTGGTCTTACTTTGATCGCATGTTCTTTTTGCATCCATACTTGCGCAAAAAGCATCAGCAGCCCAAATCGCTGGATACCCAAGTTCAAGATGCACTGGCGCACCTGACCAGCCTCTCAAGTCGAATGCAGCGGGAGCGGGCAGTCAATACGTGTACAGCGGCAAATACCACAAATACCAACAGCACAGCGCAGGTGAATCACAGCAATGCTGTCCACTCGGCACAGCAATCGCCGCAGCAGCAACAGTTGGACAACTATTTGGACTATTTTGATGATCACGATAACAATAACTCGGAGCTCGATGAGATCATTGATGAGGAGCACCGGGCACGTTTCCAAAACCATACGCTCGATAGCAATGACATTAAATCGGAGTGCGAGGAGCCAGTTGATGACTACGAAGCAGAGCCTGAGCAGCGAGTTCATCAACATCAACATCAGGATGATGATGAGCATGAGCACGAAGAGCATGAAATGCGCACTTTGGCATATGATGCGACGGTAACAGCTTCAGCACCCAGCTCCACATCAACGCTGGAGAAGCGCTATGCGCATTATCAACAGCATGCCAGCAGTAGCAGCAACAATCGGATGCAGCACATGAATCGCCTGCAGTTACGCACATACCATGAGGAGGCACGCGCGCTGCGCTCACGCTCACAGGAGCTGCAAGGCGCAGCTGCGGCTGCAGCGACAGCGGCGGCGGCTGCTAGCGCTGCCAATTTACAAAACCACCCAAATATTTCGTTTGTGCGTCCAACATTTAGTAGCAAGCCCGTGGACATGGTGAGCACCACTACGCATACCAATGCAGCCGTTGCTGGAATCGTTGCGGCATCCACAACAGAGAGTGAGCTGCCGTCACCATCAAGCGTTGCAGCCGCTGCGACGCCCAGCAGCGCTTATCTGAGCCAACGTCATATGCATGTGCCGCATTCGCACACCCACACACATCATCAGGGGACGCAGTCCCAGCGTCTGGAGGTGAACAACTCTTCTGCCGCTGTAGCCGCTGCAAACACAGTGGATCTTTGCGACTGCAAAACCGATTCGGATGCTATGTTTCTGATGAGTCTTCTGCCCGACATACAGAAACTGAATGGACGAGATCGCGGCAAAATTAAAATAGCTTTCCAAAACATATTGCAGGATTACTTGTATCCCGACTAATCGCGACTTTAAGTCATTGCGGCTGCTAGTTAAGATCTCCCTGCACTTCTGTGTATACAATTTTGCCTATAGCAGGCGCAAATCGTTGTCGATGTATTGTTAACTTATTCGATCGGCTCAGCCGAAACATTTCATTTGCATTCACGTAATTCCTTAAAGCTTTGCTGTCCCGAAAGAAACAACATAGTATCCTTAAATTGTAACCTAAAGGTAGCTCCTTTAAACAAAATGTGTTATAAATTATTTAATTCATATGTATATATAAATAGTTTATGTTTAAAACAAGAAATTCATTCAGAATGCACAGTAACTGTTTATGGCTATAGCTAAGCAGTTCTTATTCGAAATCAAATGCTTTTATCGGGTTTTTAACAATTATACAGAACTTGAAGTCAGAACAGAACTCTTCCGTTTGATATATACCTATCGAAAATTATTAAATCTATATTCATAGCAAATATTAGTTTATTAATCAAAGAGCTTTAGGTCACGCGCTATCTTCTGTATCTTATTGTCCAGCGTTTTGTCCTCGTACTCACAAATATAATAATGCTTGGACGTACAATCCTGACCGTAGTACACATAGCTGTGCTTGCCCGCATTGTAGCTCAGACGGAGGCAGCGTCCCTTTCCCTCAATTTGCACTGTATTGTTGAGTACATCGTTGTCGTCCGCTGTTGCCTCGCTGCTGTCCACCAGATTGGAGGCCGTTGAATTGTCAGCCTTTTGCGACATGGCTATTGATGTGAGGTTCGTATTCGGATTGACGGGCTTTGCGGAATTAGACCAAATCCACAAAAGACCCGGATTGAGACCACCTAACCAGTAATCGCGCCCCCTATGCGCCGGCTGATTGAGTAAATAGGCCATAATTTCCTCGTTCTCGGACACCTTCTCGAATTCGGCCAGATGCGCAGAGAGTCCCTTACAGGCTGTGTTGGCCGTCTTCCAGTTCACCTGCTGCTGGCTATTTATATAGTAACAATTGTCACTAATGCGCGTAAAATTCGCAGGACAGGGATCACGCACTTCCTTCTGGTTGTTGCCGGCCATTAGATAATAGATCAATTGTTCCGTACGTCGCACGCGACTTTCCAAATAATCTGCAGGGAAAAAAAAACATGAACATTTTTCAACACTGTTTAAATTCATGAAAATCGCAAAGAAAGGGCATGTGGAGCAGGTAAGCTAAAAAGAGAGACAGACAGAGAGAGAGAGGAGGGCAAGAAAGTGAGAAAATGAGAAAGAAAAAGCAAGGAATTGTGAGAGAAGGCGAAGGCCGCTTACTCGCTTTCTCCGAAAAAATACCTTTCTACTCGATTTTCATAAACATAAAGTTTATCAACTGGGATGGAAATAACGTATTTTTGGAAGGATATGATATCATATGATATAACATCTGACAAAGTTGACTACATTCTGATAAGATTCGGATATATGTATTTTGTATTTGTACAACTTGAATATTTTCTTACCAACACGATAGACGAGCTTCTCAATGGCGCCCAGCAGATACAGATCGTTTTCGGAAACGGCTCGAAATGTGTTCGGCGGGCTGCCATGTGGCCCCAAATGCTGCTGCTGCTGCTGCTGCTGCTGTGAGTGTGGCGGCGGCTGCTGCAGCGGCACTGGCCGCATATGCACCTGAGGTGGAGCTGTGGGTCCATTGCTGGCGCTGCCGCCGCCGCCAAAACCAAAAAGCTGTTGCAAGAAACCGGGTTGCTGTCGCTGCTGTTGCTGCTGCTGCTGCTGTTGTTGCTGCTGCTGCTGCTGTTGGTGCAGCATTTGGTTCGTCATGGGCCGGAACTGAGGATTAACAATCGGGCCTTGGTTATCCACCGGCGTACGCAGATGGGGCTCCAGCTCTACAGCCTCGCCAATGCGGCGCGTAATATAAATGTTGTTGCCGGGCCGTTTGTACGCCGAGGAATGATAATTAATGGGTCCGCCCATCTCTCCGCCCATATAGGTTAGATCTTTGGACATGCGCTGGCTGCTGCTGCTGCTGCTCTGGCTGTAAAGTGGCACATTTGAAACAACTAATCCATTTTGGCATCAAATTACACACCAACACACACACACACCTCAAAACATAATCTTCGAGAAATTGTGACCAATTCGGCGCCTCAGTCAACGTTTTATTTGCGTATTTTTGCATAGTTTCACTCTCCGCCTTGCATAAGCGAGGGCAAAGGCCCAGACATATAAGCACCATAAAGACATGACGACACACAATTGTTTTCTTTGCGGCCAGCGACATGACGACATGTAATGTTTGCACTATGCAACGCTTAAAGATTCCAAATGAAAATACATATGTATATGAACAAAATGAGAAACACTTTCGATTTCTACGAGCTGCGTCCGCTTCTTGTGCGATCCAAACTGAGACTGAGCTGCAAGTGGAGCTGTGGTTGGGGCTCTGCATGTTGCTGTTTTTTTATTTTTATTTTTTTTTTATTTACCCGCGTCAAATGCAAAATTTCACTTTCTCCGACGCTCTTCACGAATGTAAGTCATTGGGTTTCTGTTTGGATTGTTGGGGCGGCAACTTTTTGCCTGTTAGCTTTGTTGTTAAACTCATTGAGATTGTGTTTTATTGTTTACGCGAGTTTATTGATAAATACATATTAATTATATATCATGAATGGCAGTTATTAACGAAACCCAGCTATTTTTGGCAATCAATCATTTTCAGGTTTAAAACAATATTTTATGTTGATGGATCTGAGCTATTTGTAGATTTGTAAGAATATTGGGGAGGCATATACTACGGAGTTAACGTCTGAAAATTTTGAAATTATTTATCCAACAATTTGATTTAATGACTTTCTATTGCATTGTTAACAGATTTCAATAGATAAAAAATTTCTTTAATTTTTTAATTTATTTCTTTTTTTTTTTTTTAGTTATATTTAGACCCTTTGCTTAAATATATTAAGCTTTTCATCAGATCAAAGGCATATTTATTTGTATAAATACAATTAATTTATTAACCAATTACAATTTGTGTTTATCTTGACTATTAACAAATTTGAAAGAACGGGCGCTTCAGTTTGCATATAATTAAGGCTTCATTAACAAAGCCATTTCGGTGAACTGATTTGGGGCCGATTGATGGCTTTGGAGACGGGCGGTCCAGATCTATGATAACCGGCATCCAAAAGTCATGGAGCGTGTTTCTCTCTACGCCCACATGCCCGCATGGAAGTGCTCTCGACAAGAGAGATAATACTTTTTTGAGCTGGTTGCCATGGATTATTCAGGTTTGACTTTCATAATGAATTATTTTGACTACTTGACTTGACGATGTTGCAATGAAGGTCTCTTCGCATCGTGCATGTTGTTCGTCTTTTGGGCTTTTTGGCGTCCGCTTCGATGACGCATTTGTAAATGTTGCTCGTTTTTGGGGGGTTTTCCCAAAAGCTGAATGAGTGTGTTTGGCATTTTCAAGATGCCATCAATGTCGGCAAATATTTCATAATTTGTGACCAAGAAGTCGTAAATCGATTTTTATCATATCGATACTTATCGATTAATGAAACTGCATTTAAAGGCTTATTGTATTTCCAATTCAATATCTCGCAGCTGGAGCATATTTCAATAGAAAGTTTTCTGAAATCAACAAGAAAATAAAACAATACGCATATAACATATATTCCATATTGTTGCAACCGTTGATAAGGATCGATAAATATCGATTCACTTATCTGAATTTTAAGGTTCAATGTATTTTAATTTTGATTTCTCTGAAATATATATTTGCATACAAGATTTTTTGAAATCGTGCTAATAATGCAACGCCGATATCGAGCAAATTGAAATTAAGCCCTTTTTTTTGGAAGTTTTTATAAAAAAACACTCCGTTATTCTGATTGTTGCCGAGTAAATGCTTTTTAATATAACAACTAAGAGTTCTGTTCCATGCAAAGAAAATAAGTAGTTCATTCTCATCAAAGCAAACATCAACATATAATTTTTTTTTTTTTTTTTAAATTTTTGTTTATAAATTTTTTATACTTTTTTTTCGTATTTTATGGGTGTTTTTTTTTCTGTTTAAATATATTATAAAATTTTAATTTCGTAACCATTCATCATTCTTAACAGCATAGATACATATTTAACTCTCTCGCTCTTTCTCTCTATCTCTCTCTCTCTCTCTCTCTATCTTCATCTCTCTTGATTTTACTAAACTTGCGTATCTTTTGTATGTTTATTACTGTCCAAGTTCTTAATATTTTTAAATATGACTTTAAAAATACAAAAATTATTGTTGAATTCGATTTTAAGTTGTTTTCTCTTTTGGATCTGTTGTAAATTGTATTGTTGCATTCAAACGGTAAAAGTTTTAGTTGGTTTTGATGAGATTTAACAGGAACTCATCTCGTTTTGGATCTGACATACATTCTAGTTATTGTGCTGCTGTAGATCTAATTGTTGTTGTTATTTATTTATTTAGAAATATATTTGGTTTAAAGATATACACAATGGTTGTTGTTCTTGGTATTTGTTTTGGTTTGCAATATGATATTGAGATGATAATCGTTTACATTTAGTTGAGTTCCTCTTCTTCTTTCGTCCGGTCCAGAGGCTCCGCTCAGTGCCCCGCTTAATAGCCAGCCAATTCGGCGAACGTGGAGTCCATCTCGTCGGCCAGAGACTTGTATCTGTCCTTGTTGATGCCCAGCTCGTCTGTGAAACGAATATTAATATAGTGCGTTAATAATTGGCTTCAAATTGGTTTTCGGCAATAAAACACAATGCAACATTTATTTGAACACATGAAACATAAGTCTTGTGCCACGGTGCCAGCGGGTGGCTGTAAAAAACTGTAAGATATCAAGTGTGACCAGTTAATTATTATTTGTTAGTGATGCGCTGTTTTGGCAAGCGTTTTATTTATTTTTTTTTTATAATTTAGTATTTTTAATTCACAATAAACAATTGCGTTTTGTGTCTGGATTACGGTCTGGGTGCATATATATTTTTGGGGGATTTTTTGAAAATTTTTTTTTTTTTTTTTTGGAAACGTGATTTTCTAACACTAAATCAGCATTATGACTGTAGACAATGATGAGCATTAAATGACCAAAATTTGAACTACATTGTGTATATTGAACATCTGTCAAATAGATCTTATAGAGCCCCGGGCAATAGCCATCCCAAACTGCAAACTAAATAATGAGAAATGAGCATAAATGCAAAATGCAGCAGAGAAACTGCGGATAGAATCGAAAGTTGGGCTTATTTGTGTCTGGGTAGGCAAGACAATTGAACATGCCACATAAAACAAAGTTAAATTCGCACTAAACAGAAATATTATAGTTTTTTTTTTTTTTTTTTTTTTTTTTGATATAAAACATAATTGAAATCACCTGGTTGTTTTGAGAAAGCATAAATAAC